GGATCTAAACCACATCTGCTTCTCTTGTCCCAGATTTCTGGAACCACATGAATCAGAGCTAATGACAGATGTTCAAAAACATGCCGCAGCTGTGGACAAACTTGACCAGCCAGTTTTAAGCTCACAGGACCTTCCTGTACATCTGTCTTGGTCACATCCTCTGGCTTTGTTTTTTCTCAGGCTTAGTATACCTCCATACCTGTGACTGCCCTCTCCCCTCACTCTGGTTCTCTCCACTTACTCTTAGACTACGTCTACACTGCGAGTTTTTGCAGCAGAAAATATGCGGGACTCCAGGAGAGGCATAAGGATCTTGCGCAAAATGGGGTGTTTGCATAAAATGGAGGCGGAAACGGAAGCAGGAAGAAAAACCCTTGCACAAAAAGAAAGGGCAGAAAATATGCTAATGAGATCGCGACTTATGCTAATGAGTCACAATCTTTAATATTTTCTGCTGCAAAAACTCGCAGTGTAGATAAAGCCTTAGTCTCTTTCTCTCTCTTCCAGATTCCCCATGCCAACCTATGTCCTTCACCTGCTACCCTCTTCTCCTCCATCTGTTACTTCCTCTCCCCTGGAAGGGAGACACCACATCCTCCAACTCTCTCAGACAGAGTGGTTACTTCCTCACTATAGAACAATGGCTGCACTTTCACCCAGAATGCACCCTAAAGAATAAAATCCCTTACTGGGGTTGAATCCCTTTACCATATCCACCAATTTTTTAGCCTATATTTTCACTGATCCCTGCAGTTCTTTGAGCAAAATCTTGTGATGACTTAGGCACTAGGGAAACCAATAAACTGTCACAGGGCTTGGTGCCTGTAAATGTAATTGGGTGTCTATTGCATTCTAAGGGTGTTCTAGCACACTAAATACAAGCAGAAAAGGTATTTACTCTCTCTTTACTCAGAGGATCTCATCTGTGACTGATTTGATTTTGTTCCGTGCCACCCATTTCTAAAGCTTATTTTTCTAAGCTTGCAATAGCAAAGGAAAAGTTTGTCATTTTGCATGATATTTTCCTAGTTTAACATTACTATTGATATCAACAGTAGAAAAAGGCAAGCAAGTAAACAGAGATTTGATGGAAAAGATGGCTAGACTGTAAAATGAATGCACTGAAGCTGGAGTACATTGCATTGTACTCACAATATTTCTGCTTTTCTCACTGCACAAAGGAAAGGAACAGAGAATCAAACAGAGCTGGCTGATGAAAAATAGCAAAGATTTCACTGGTGTTCCCATGGAGCTTCCATTTGAAATTAAATGGAGCCACGTGAGGTGTCGAATCTCATTCCCTCACAAGATCTAGCTGCATGTTTAACTGGCAGCACTGTATACTGGCCTTCCCAGACTGCTTTTCTAGATACAAAGCTTAGGGGAAATCTTGAAACAAAAAACATGTTAAGCAAAATGGATGATGGTTCCGATTTAAGACTCTTCAGCCTTTTTTGTAGCACGTATCTCTGTGTTTCCAGGATCAAATTCAAGTCTGGTGTTGCACAGTGCAGCCCATATGGCACATAAGCTTATGAGCTGGTCTCAGTTCCCCAAAGTCAACAGTACTAGACACAAAGGCATTTGTTATTTAACATTGTGATAAAAGAGGATGTGACTTGAGATTTAAATGACCTAAAACATCACTTGTGTTTAGGAATTCCCTTGCCAGAAGTAAATCTGCTTTTTCTTAAAAACTTGGAAGTGATCAGCTCCAAGATGTGCGTATGCCCCTAAAGTTGCTGTACCAATAGGATTTCAGATGGTTCTGAAGCACTCTTTTCATTTTGAAAGAAATGGCCTGAGAGCAACAGAAGACTGCACCTAGTCTGATGTCTTTGCCTCTGTCAGTATTTTAGGTTTTGTCCTAAGGAAATAGTCTTTAATTTCCAGGCTTTGATAGATAAAATGACAAATGAAAGCCTTCCAATACTAGTTGATCTTAAAACGTCCTAAGGGGAAAGGTGTTCCTGAATTACTACATTCTGCTAGGCTTTTATTTCAAAGATTTTATTTCAGATTACAAAAAAAGAAAATGTTCCAAGATGCTGGACTACAATTCCTATCTTCATGTCATTCCTCTTCACCAAACATTCACTAACTGTAATGCCAGCACCCATTCATCATCATCGACGACAACCAGGGACTCAGCACCTGTTGGTGTCCGATGCCTCCCTCACTATTTCCTTCCAGCTTTCCCTGTCCAGTGCGGAGTGGCTTAGTTTCTGTAGACTAGCTCCACACCAATCTACTATATCATCTACCCATCTACCCATTCTCTGTGGGGTCTGCCTCTCCTGTTTGGACCATCCATTATGCTGAATACCAGGGTCTTAACTTTTCGCTCGTCGTTCATACTGCAGATAGGCCCGAATAGCTGTAACTTTCATTGTATAACCTTCTGCAGTAGGTTCTCTTTCAGCTGTATCTTCCTGTATAATTCCTCATTAGTGACCTCAGCTGTATCTTCCTGTATAATTCCTCACTAGTGACCGTCTCAGGATCTTTCTATAACAACTCCTCTTGAATGCCAATATCCTCCTCTTCGAATCTTTCATTATCACCCATGTCTCACATCTGTACAACATGCTGCTAAATACACGTTTTCAAGACACTCAGCTTCATTCCTAAAATAATTGCTTTACTTTTCCAGATCTTATCCATCACCTTCAAACTCCCTCTTGGTTTTACTATTCTAGTCGCTATTTCCTTCTTACAGTCTAGATCATACGTCATGTTGCTCCCCAAATACATGAACTTCTCTACATTCTCTAGTTTGGTCCCATCTACACTGATCTTCCTTCCTATTTCCTTATATCCAAATACCATTCCTCAATGTTATTTCCAGACACAATGTAAACCTTCTGTAAGTGAAAAATATTTTTGTCATGCAATCCTCCAAATGCTGGTAAATATTTAGATGTAATCATAAGTTGTTCCTTTTGTTAACTGGGGAAATAAACCTCTAAGTTTACTTTGTCGCCTTGATATATTTTTCTTGGCTTTCTCCATAAGGCAACGTTATCAAGAACCAATGAAGCTGTCACTATTTGCAAAACATGCTAGGTGCTTGTGCCACTATTGACATGTCTAATACAATATTTCGATAGTTTTCTCAACTCTCAACTGCCTCCAATGCAAAATCTTTCTTATTTAAAGAATTTTGAATTGGTTACAATTTGACTTGTATATATTATCTGTTCAGAGCATTACAAATGACAGTGTTTAGTGGCTCTTTCCTCTCTCTGTCCTGGTGGGGCAGAGGGTTACCAGTGTTTGTTTGTTGCTCTTGCTACAAAAGTGTTTAATGCACAAATTAGCATTTATATCTGTTCATGGTGTCTATGAAACTGTTCCAAATGGAAGTAGTGTTTTATGCCCATTCTGTACTCATGTTGCTCAGATGAAAATAACTAGACCAGAAGGCCCAGTAAAGAACCATGTGAGTTATTGGTGTTTTCTCCCAGTACAAGGTTTTTAATGCAGCTTTGGCATTCATACCATAGCTATTCCATCTACTTCTAGTCACATGAGCCTAGCCCTGATAGTACAGGTTGGAACTCTGATCCGGCATGCTGGGGATCTGACCAGTCCCAAACCAGGAAGTTTACTGGACAAGGGGCCCCAGCCACTGAGGTCCTATTCAAGCCATTGGCCCCCGGCCTCAGGGCTCTGCTTCCCGCTGCTGGCTTAGCTCTCTGGTCCAGCAACATTCGTGGTCTTGCTGTGCCATTTTTTTCTCTGTGCGTTTGCCAATCCTGGGGCACCCACCCCAACCATGCTGGACCACAGATGTTGTAGATCAGAATCCTGGACTAGAGAGGTTCAACCTGTAGCTCATAAAGCTCTCCTGTGAACGTTTCTAAAGGAATTTGATCCTACAATCATTTATAATAATGTGGTGTTTTATAAAACTAGAACAACTAAGGCATTGTTAATTAGAGTAATTACTCATTTAACACGTGCCTGCTTAACATGTTTTCGCGATAGCACAATTTTTGGGGGGGAACGGTTTTTGAACAACACAACCGTCCGCGAAATAACATGGTTTCCCCAGCCAGCCGGTTGCTGGTGGCTGCGCGGGGCTTCCCCCGCTTCCCTGCAAAACGGCGGAGGGTTCGCTGCTCACTGCGCCATTCCCTGGAGACCCCCTCTTGCCAGACGCCTTGCTCCCTCTCCTCCACTCCCAATTGCAGGCCGGTGGCTGGGTTTCTCCAGCTGGCTGGTCACCGGCAGCTGTGCGGGGCTTCCCCTGCTTCCCTTCACTGCTGCCACAATAGTAGCAGCAGCAGCTGGGAGCTCCAGGCCCTTTTGAAGTGCCGCAGGAGCACCGTTCTGAGGCTCCATGGAGCTCTGAGGGATGAGAGGGAGCGCCCAGCACTATGCTCTAGGGAGGTGCTAAGAACTGACTGTGGTAGGTTATAGATGTCATGCCAGCAGCTGGGAGCTGGTTTTTGGTTGTGAATGGGTTCTGGGAAGAGGTAAGCAAGTAATGTTAAGTACCAAGCAATAGCTGCAGACAGTGGAGGGGAACCAAGGGAGCAGCTGCCCCAGGGCCTGCAGATTTAAAAGGACCTGGAACTTGTGGCCTCTGCCATCACTATTGCTGCAGTGGCCAGAGCCCATCAACTTGCCCCTGGGGGTGGCATTCCAGCCCTGGTGTTGCCAAAGGGATGAGTGAGAGACTATTCCCCAGCCTTGTCACTTCTGCCTGAGGTCCTGCCCTTTCCAGGGGGCCCAGAGCCAGCCCCCCACCGGGCCTGGCGTTGTCTCTCATCAGCCCTCGTACTGAAGTTTTTTAGAAAGTAAAAATAGTTAAACTTTCTATCCTGTAACATTCTGTACAATCAAGAATTTAAAAAATTAAAATGTGAATGTGACTTGTCACAGACAGAAAGGAGTATTAGCATGTAAGTGTACCAGAGGGTTTGCTTAGTTGTCTAAGATTTTGAAACAGATGCTCATTGAAATCACTAGTTCAAATTCTTAATAGGGCTCACTCTAATTTTAGTCCTTCCGAGATAGATGGATAGATCCTCTTCAGCCCGCTCTGCCCCATTTCAACAGCACCTCTAAAAATTCAAGTCTTATCCGTCCTGCAGGGATATTAAAGATCTCATGCACTCTGTGAAAGCACTGGGTTGCCATGGTGCCCTTGTGACATTTTCTACTCTTGCCCTGGCCCCTCTTGTTTGTTGTCCTCTGCATGATTTGATCCACCTGTTTGCTCCCCACGTGTGGTTGCACATCAGTGATGTTGTGCAGTATGAAAGGCACTATGTAAACATAAAAAAACCCAAACAAACAAAACTTTGACATAGTTTCACATGCAGTAGGGCTTTGTCAGAGAGCTCTTTGAGCTAAACTATTTGATCTCTGTGGAGATCAATTCTTTTATCAAGTAAAATCTAAATGTTTAATCCATCAGAGGTGCCTTTAACTAGGCAATTCATTGCCTTGGAGAAAACAAAATGTTCCTCATTATCCACAGCCATCTCTACCTTCCCAGGACAAACACAAATTAGAGACCATTTGAGCTCTACTGTGATTTGTTTCAAGTCAGTGGAGTTACCCCAGGGATAAAACTTGGCCCAGACATTTTAATATGTGATAGTAAATCACTAAAACCACCATCCCCATCTGTTCAGTTATGTGGCCAGAGTGTGAGCATTTCACATTCAGTACATGGCAGAAATACATCAGCACGCAGTTCTAAAGGCACATAAATTAGAGGTTTTATTTTATGCCTTGTTGCCTGTGGGTTTTGTCACTACCTGTAAAAACAGTGGTCAGGGTACTCATTCTTGTTAATCCCATTCTAACACTCCAGGGTAAGAAACATTGTTCACACTACAAATTTTCAGATCTAAGTAGCCTTTGTTGGATACATACTTTTCAAACCTAACAGAAAGGTTCTGTGGGAGAAGGCAGGCTTGTTAGAGGGGACTGGAAGTAGCCCTTATGCTTCCAAACTCTTTCTGTTTATAAGAAAAGAAAGGCTAACCTAATAAATGAGAAAAAGCTGTTCTGGATTTGGTTTTAACAAATAGGGAGGAACTAGTTGAGAACTTGAAAGTGGAAGACAGTATAGGGGACAGTGATCATGAAATAATAGAGTTCATGATCTTAAGGAAAGGTAGAAGGGAGACCAGCACAATTGAGGTTATGGATTTCAGGAAGGCAGATTTTGATAAGCTCAGAGAACTTGTAGGTAAGGTCCCATGGGAAGCAAGACTGAAGGGAAAAACAACTGAGGAGAGTTGGAAGTATTTCAAAGGGACGTTGTTAAGGGCCCAAAAGCAAACAATTCCGCTGTGTAGGAAAGATAGAAAATATGGCAAAAGACCAGCTTGGCTTAACAAGGAGATCTTGCATGATCTCAAAATAAAAAAGGAGTCATATAAAAAATGGAAACTAGGACAACTAACAAAGGATGAATATAGGCAAGCAACACGGGAATGCAGGGGCAAGATTAGAAAGGCAAAGGCACAAAATGAGATCAAACTAGCTACAGGCATAAAGGGAAACAAGAAGACCTTTTATAAATACATTAAAAGCAAGAGGAAGACCAAGGACAGGGTAGGCCCACTGCTTAGTGAGGAGGGAGAAGCAGTAACAGGGAACTTGGAAATGGCGGAGATGCTCAATGACTTCTTTGTTTCGGTCTTCACCGAGAAGTCTGGAGGTGTGCCTAACGTAGTGAATACAAGCAGAGAGAGGGTAAGTTTAGAAGATAGGATACACAAAGAACAAGTTAAAAATCACTTAGGAAAGTTAGATGTCAGCAAGTCACCAGGTCCTGATGAAATGCATCCCAGGATACTCAAGGAGCTGATAGAGGAGGTATCTGAGCCTTTAGCTATGATCTTTGAAAAATCATGGCAGACAGGGGAGATTCCAGAAGACTGGAAAAGGGCAAATATTGTGCCCATCTATAAAAAGGGGAATAAGAACAACCCAGGAAATTATAGACCGGTCAGTTTAACGTCTGTCCCAGGGAAGATAATGGAGCAGGTAATTAAGGAAATCCTATGCAAACACTTGGAAGGTAATAAAGTGATAGGGAATAGCCAGCATGGGTTTGTGAAGAACAAGTCATGCCAAACTAATCTGATAGCTTTCTTTGATAAGATAACGAGCCTTGTGGATAAGGGAGAAGCGGTGGATGTCATATACCTAGACTTTAGTAAGGCATTTGATACGGTCTTGCATGATATTCTTATTGATAAACTAGGCAAATATAACTTAGATAGGGCCACGATAAGGTGGGTGCATAATTGGCTGGGTAACCGTAGTCAGAGAGTTGTTGTTAACTGTTCTAAATCCTGCTGGAAAGGGATAACAAGTGGAGTTCCTCAAGGGTCTGTTTTGGGACCCGTACTGTTCAATATCTTCATCAATGATGTAGATATTGGGATAGAGAGTACTCTTATTAAGTTTGCAGATGATACCAAACTGGGTGGGGTTGCGACTTCTTTGGAGGATAGGGACATAATTCAAAATGACCTTAGCAAGTTAGAGAAATGGTCAGAGGTAAACAGGATGAGGTTTAATAAAGAGAAATGCAAAGTGCTCCACTTAGGAAGGAACAATCAGTTCCATACATACAAGATGGGAAGCAACTGTCTAGGAAGGAGCATGGCGGAAAGGGATCTAGAGGTCATAGTGGACCACAAGTTGAATTATTCTATGACCTTCTTATCACTGAACTAGGGAGATGCAACCTAGATGAGGATACTATAAGGTGGATGCATAACTGGTTGGATAACCGCTCTCAGGGCATTTGTAAAATAGCAAGAAGACTGACCCTCCAGATGTCAATCTTCTAGCACTCAGTTTTGCAGGTTTAATGTAGACCCATAAATCAAACGCTGAGGGCAGCCCTTCTAGCATCTAGTACTCCTCGTTCTGCTAAGAGTAAGAGAAGCCAACAGGAGCTTGTGCTCCCATTGGCCTCCTGCTGTGTGGACAGCATTTTAAGATACTTCGACTCTGGCTACACAATTAATGCAACTGTAGTTGAGTATCTTAAGTCAACCTTCCACTCCAGTGTATACTAGGATTCAGAGAGTAGTTATCAATGGTTCATGGTCATACTGGAGGGGCATAACAAGTGAGATTCCGCAGGATTCATTCAATATCTTCATCAATGGTTTTGATAATGGGATAGAGAGTATGCTGTAAAGTTTGCAGATGATACCAAGCTGGGAGGAGTTGCAAGTGCTTTGAAGGTTAGGGTTATAATTCAAAGTGATATGGACATACTGGAGAAATGGTCTGAGGAAAATAAGAAGTTCAACAGGGACAAATGCAAAGTACTCTACTTAGGAAGGAACAATCAGTTTCACTCATAGAAAATGGGAAGTGAATGTCTAGAAAGGAGTACTACAGAAAGGGATCTAGGGGTCATAGTGGATCACAAGCTAAATATGAGTCAACAGTGTGGCACTGTTGCAAAAATGGCAAACGTCATTCTGGGATGCATTAACAGGAGTGTCGTGAGCAAGATATGAGAAGTAATTCTTCCACTCTACTTGGTGATGATTAGAATATTGTGTCCAGTTCTGGACATCACATTTCAGGAAATGTGGACAAATTGGAGAAGGTCCAAAGAGCAACAAAAAATGATTAAAAGTCTAGAAAACATGACCTTGAGGGAAGACTTAAAGAACTGGGATTGTTTAGTTTGGAAAAGAAAAGACAAAAATGGAACATGATAGCAGCTTTCAAGTACCTAAAAGGGTGTTACAAGGAGAAAAATAGCACTGGGATAAATGGTCTAAGGAGGCTGTGGAATCTCCATCATTGGAGATATTTAAGAATAGGTTAGATTCCCATACATCTGTCAGGGATGATCTAGATGGTTCTTGGTCCTGCCGTGGGGGCAGAGGACTGAACTTGACCTCTCAAATTCCTTTCCAGTTCTAGTATTGTATGCTTCATCAACCCCCAAAAAAGCCTAGAGAAGGGGAACAGAAGGCACAGTGAACTAAGGTTTTGAGTGAAGCTCCTCTCAAGGAAGGATCAGAGTATTAAGTTTCTAAAATCCAAAGTCCATAGAGGAATGCTGTCTCAGTACTATTTCTGCTTTTAGTCATGGCAATCTGATTTTCCTACAAACCACTGGTTCCTCCATTCACACCTGTTCCATACTCCCAAGGTGGATGGCACAGACAAACAGAATGAAAGTAATGCTAATTCCGAAATGACAGTCAACAGCACTCATGCTGCAGGAATTAGCTGCTTCCTCCTGCTTCCCCCAGAGTGGTGAGCTGTCATTTCCCAAAATAGACCTGCAATGTGCATGCAGTAGAAGCATGCAGAAGGGTGCATGTGGCTATAAAGGAGTAAAGCAATTGACAATCAGACCCATAGTCTTTCAAAAGAGGCTCATGGTAATTATTGGCTACTCCCTTTATTTCAAATCATTTACAAACTCACTAAGCCAATTTTAATTTTGTAAACATTTTGGATAAACAAAGTCTTTCTTTTCAAGGGAGAGGTGAATATTTAAAATGCCATGTTTACAAAGGGACACCTGATAGACAAAAAGTGAGAAAATCATGAACTAATTTTTCCTGTTGTCAGGTTCATAATGAATAAGCTAGACCAGAACCCTTACAGTGATCAACCTGTGGATTCTACTAGGAAATATACCCCACATAGAATACAATGAGACAAAACTGAAATAAGTCTTCAGGGCCATGCTGTAAGCCTTATGATCATCCAACAGCAGCGGTGATGCAGGCAGTAGCATCCTTGGGTATTATTAGAACAGATGTATAGCTTATCAGGCATTCTGTTAATGCAGTAGATCAGCAACTGACAATCACAATAGCAAGTGCCAAATACACTTGTACTGTTCTATGAGGGAGGGATAGAGGAACTCCTCGAAAACAGTGGTGACAGCCATAGTAGAATTATCTAATATCAATAATACATACATGGGCACTGGTGTACCCTTTGAATTATCTAATATCAATAATACATACATGGACACTAACGAAATAACAAGCAGTGCATCCACACTACCAAGCCTGTTATTTTGAAATGATGGGCTGGTTATTTCGAAATAACTCCTGCTTTCCACAAGGAATAACGTTTATTTCAAAT